CTGATCAAGGAGATTATGAGGTCACAGAGGAAAGTGATTGATGATGTTTAATGTGCCTAAGGAGAGTCAGCTAGAGAGAAAAAATTCTCTCAGGCTTTTACAGAGAGCAAATTGGTCAAGCAATGGCCCAATCATCCAGATGACTGACACTGACAAAAGATCTAAAAGGTGCTGTACATGGTTTCAGGGTAAATCCTGAGGGGATTTGACTGACCTTGTCAGATACAAAAGTTACATTTTTACTTATATAGGTCTTGCTTTAACTTGGTCTTAACCATCCAGTAGAAAAGTATAATCACAAGGTATAAAAAGTAATGCCATATTAATATGCTGAGCTGTAAAAGGCTCAAGTCTACAACTTCAGACAATTGCCAGTTTTGCTGATAACCCACTTCTATTATGGACTATTGGACTATATATTTTGCTGAATTCAAGTACTTACAATATTTGAACTGGCATCAAGTATGAAAAGGTCCTTTACAGACTTCTCCAAATATAGCTTCTCCAACAACGAGACACTTAACTGTGACAAAACAAAAAAGGGGGATATAGGCGGCTGGGGAGATGGCTCAATAGAATAATAAGTGCTTCCCTGGCAAGCACAAGGATCTGAGTTCAATCCCTGGTTCCGCCAAAAAAAAAAAGGGGGGGGGATAAACAAATAAAGGACCAGGCTAGGGAAATGGCTTAGTGGAATAAGTGCTTGCCTGGCAAGCGCAAGGGCTTGAGTTCAATTCCCCATTCTGCAATAAATAAATAAATAAATAAATAAATGACCATTTTGTAGTGAAAAAGATATATGTATATACAAAATAGCTAGGATATACAGCTACTTTCTATTAGTTCAATGAGAAGAAAGGTTTGTCCTAATATTGTTTAGACAAGAGATCATGTCTGCATCTTGTTCTCTGAATAACTACTATGAAGACAATAATATGTAATGTATTAATTACTATAACTGTCCTACTAACCTGTTTTGGAACTGTTTCATTGCTATTTTTTTCTCATTAAAATGAGTAAAAAATTAAAAAAAACCCCAACATGTTAAAAAAAAAGTCCATCAATAGATGAGTGGGTATGACCTAAATGTGGTAAAATATAATAGAATATTATTCAGCTTTAAAAAGAAAGGAAGTTCTGACAGATGGTACAATACAGATGAAGATACCCTGCATGAGAGAAGCCAGTTACAAAAGGTCAAACACTGCCTGCTCTCCCTTACGTAAGATTCCCAAAGAAATCGAGTTTGTAGAGAGAAAGGAGAGGGCCACCAGCACGGGGAGGACGGGCTGTAGAGACGGCTGCACTGTAATAAATGTACTTAATAAATGTGCACTTGGAGATGATGGGAAATTTTACACATGTACATTTCACCCCACAAGTAAAAAACCCAAACACAGCCTATCAATTACAGAAGTCTGGGCTGGGGAGATAGCTCAGTGGCACAAGCGCCTGCCTGGCAAGAGTGAGCTGCTGAGTTCAATTCCTGTAATCAAAAAACCCCCAAAAGCCCCCAGAAGTCTAATGATTCAGCCCCACTCTTCTCTCTAAACTCATGTTACAGTGCTGTTCTTTCTGTTTCCTTGCCCACTTCCTTTCAGCCCTGCTGGCTTTCCTCTTACCTCAGGCCCTTGGGCTGCTGCTCCTCTACTAAAGGAGCTCCCTGAATTCACATGAGCTTAGCACATGCATTCTGCGCTCCCTTTACCTTTGACTTCCTCATGTGATTATTATTATTATTTAAAATTACTTATTTTCTGTCTTTCCAAGTAAAAAAAAAAAAAAAGTAAGCTCTAAGAAGACAGAGCCCATTCAGGAGTGAAGCCGATGCCCTGGGTCTGACTTGTGCTGGGAAACAGAAGGTCCTCTGCCTGGCACTGGGTCTCCTCCTTTGGCCCTGGCATCGAATGCCCATATGCTCACATGTGAGCATACTCACATCAGGCTGCTGCCAGATGCCTGATGGGAGGGAGGGCAGAAAGTAGGGGCTTGGTTTCAGCAGAGACACAGGTCTTGTTTGTGTGTCTAATGACAGTCAGTTAACCTGATTGGATGGTCAATGGTGTAGGAAATTTTATCCTGCTGTGGGCTGAGAGATTTATGACCATGAATCTGAGGGCCTTTTCCTTTCCCTACTGAATGACACTTAAAGTATCTCTAGAGTCTGAGAATCCTCCTGGTAGGAAGATTTATTCTAGAATGCACAAATTCCCTGGCATTACATGGGAAAATGGGGAGGGGGTGCATACTGTTGTGTGCCAGTGTACCCTACTCTAGGGAGGGAGGGTAGCTTTCAGTGGAGTCTCAAAACTGTCCATGACTCAGAAAAATAAGAGGGACAGGTTCAGGTTTGTCAGGCAGGTGATTCAGGGATGCTGTAAGAAAGAATCCAGGACCACAAGAGGGAGCTAGCCAGAGAGGAGACCAGCACATGCTGGTGGCTGCTAGAAGCAGGTCCTTCGGGGAGGTGAGTAGGTTACTGGAAATGCTGCCCTGCTAGGCACAGGTTGCTCTGCCCTGTAGCTGCTTCCCATGCCAGCCTGGAATGTCACTTATCTATCCTGGCTTTTGCTCCTTAAGGACAGACTCACCAGGTCCCGGGTGATGGTAAAAGCATTGGGAACTCTCACCACCTGGTGCTCAGGTAGGTAGTACAGGGCTGGGAGAGCAGGGTCACAGAAGGGCACGATTTGAGAGGAAGCAGCTGATACACTTGCTTCTACCCCGTGTAGCCACACTATGCTCCTCAGTCTTCACCTCTGCCGCTCCATTTCCAGAAGACTAAGGTATACATTTCTTGCCCCCCAGATCTCACTGCGTTCCTGTTCTTGCCTTTGCTTTGTGAGTGCTACCAAGGGGCTTTTTCTTTTTTGAGACAAGGTCTTGCTATGCAGTTTAGGCTAGGCTTGAACTCACTAGGTAGACTAGGCTGGCCTCAAACTCACGGTGATCCTCCTGCCTCATCCTTCTTGAATTCTGGGATTTCCGGTGTGCACAACCACATTTAGCAAGTCTGTCTAGCCAGGGCAAATGTGAGCTCCCTGAAGAAATGAGCTCAACAGTGTTCTCACCCCTAACCCTCAGGGCAGAAAAGACTGGGGAAGGTAAGGAGAAGCACCAGCTCCACTGGAGCGACCAGGATGCCAGCAGGGGATCATGGAGCTGCCCTTGATACAGGGCCCCGGGCGCGGGGCCCCAGACACCATGTGCCATCCGGGAGCAGGGCTCAGCTCCCAGAAGCCCCAAGTATATCTGGGTGGCACCTCCACAGCCGATTTCCTGGGTCCGACCTATCACCCCATTCTCGAGCGGTTCTAAGAACTTATACTCTAGATGCCGCATCCTCTGCCTCTCTGCCTGCCAACTGCTCTCCCCCAAAGCAGCCGTTCTTCTGAAATAAGGTCATTGTCTAGCTGAAACACTTCAGGGACCATTTTTTCCTTCCATCCATGCATCCTTCCTTCCTTCTTTTTAGCACAGAGGATCGAACCCAAAACCTCACATATTCTTGGTGCTTGACAATTAAGCTACATCCTCAGTCTCATTTCTTTCTAAGGGTTTTTGTTTTTGTTTTTGTTTTTTTCTCTGAATGCCCTCACGGGTGGTTTGGCTGGCTGGAGTGTTGTGGGAATCGAACTACAGCAACCTGAGGCTGACAGCTTTGTGGAAGCAGCCACTTAAAGAACTGAACTACGGCCAGGCCCCCTCATTTCTTTCTAAATAAATATATTTAGCCTGGTGTGAACGTTAATGCAGTACCTATTTAATCTCATTTCCTATCAGAAACCTAAGCTTCAGTCACACCAGATCTCCCCAACAAACATACTCTTGCCTCCAGGACTCTGCGTATGCTGGTCTCTGTTCCAGGAATGCCCTTCACACTCTTCTTTTTCCTAGACAGTCCTCCTTTCAGATCCAGCTCCAATCTGGCCTCTACAGTGGAACAGTCCTAGACATCCAGGTAGAAAAATACCCATGGGAGCTGGTGAGATAGCTCAGTGGACTAAAGTGGCTGCTTAGGCAAGTGCAGGGACCGTGGTTTGATACCCAGTACTACATGCCGTGCCAACTCCACCCCCAGGGCAGGCTGAGCCAGCCACCAAATCCAGGCGTGGTGGTGCATGCCTATAATCCCAGTACTGGGGAGACTGAAAACAGGAGGATCACTATGAGTCTGGGCTGTGTAGTGAGACCTTGTAACAGCCTAATACATTAAAAAAAAGAAAGAGAGAGAGAGGCACCCATGGAATACTGTCCCCATACAAAGAATATAATAAAATCTAACCTCATGGAGCTGTTACTCTATGCTAATTACTTTGCCCCATGAATTATTTCATTGATCACCTCTTTCAGACCTCTCCTGTGTCATCCAATGAAGTCAACTGTCCTCGTTTTTCAAAAGAGAAGGACCAAGTATTTGCCCAGGGTCACAAAGCCAGGACTTGTGTTCCTTCTGACGGACTCTCAAGTCTGTGCCCTTTCACCATAACACTGTGACCCATCAGGGTTGGTAGGATTGGTAGCCTTTGCAGGACAGTGGATCTACTTGTCATGGTATTTCCTGTGCTCAGTCATGCCACCTGTCAGGCCTGACTGACAGGTGGAAGTTGGAGGGAGCAGCCCCACTTATTAACAGCCACAGCAAAAAGGAACTCTGAAATGCAGCCAGCAAGAGCATAAGAATGGGCTGCCAGGCAGGACACAGTAAAAGGCCTTCTCTTCTGCGTGGACCTCTCCCAGCATTTCTGACTTAGGGTTAGACTTGGCAGCTCTCAGGAAGACCAATGCCGCTAACCTCTTGGAGTTCCTTGGGTGGAGGATGAAAACAGTCCAAACTCTGGGAATGTGGTCTTCCTGCTGCCTATCCCTGGCTGCCTTCTTGCTCCTGGCCTTTGTGATGAGTGTGATGCAGGCAACAGGCCTGATCCCTTGAGGCCCTGCCCTCCTCCCCAGAGTGCCCACGGGATCCCAGCTCCTGGCTCAGGGCCCTCTGGCCTCACCGTCAGTGCTGGCATCATCTACCAGTATGATCTCCTTCAGCAACATGGCAGGGCTGGTGTGTAGGACACTGTACACTGTTCGCAGCAACGTGGACCATGCCTCATTGTGAAACACGATGATGACGCTGGTGGTGGGCAGTGGAGGGCAGCGTCGGAACTTCTGGTCAACACACCTGGAAAGACAAAATTATATGCACTGCTTACCCGGTCCCTGAGAGTTCCAGGGGTGGGAAGAGCTCTGTCCAAAGCTTTTCCAAATCATTTTCCACTCCTCCTCTGAACCACTGGCCTACATGGTCATTCCAATTTTTATTTGAATATGTTTATCATCTCAGCCTTGGTCAGTGAAACCAGCACTTCAGTCTTGAAAATGCTTACGTGTTAATCTAATGCTGCCACAGTTGGGGCTCCTCAAACTCAGACCAAAGTATTACTGCCTAGAACCAGAAGCTTCTTGGAGTTACTGGGAGCTCTTTAGCAGAGAACGGCCTTCTGTGGGCAGCCAGTAGAGGAAGTGGAGACAGCTGTTGCAGTTGGGAGCAGCTGCTTCCTGTCTTGGACTCTCCCCACCCGCTTTAAGTCTCCATGTGGGTCCTACTGACCTACTCCAATGTCAAACACCAACCCAGAGCTGCTTCCGGCCTCTAGCTGTGATGCCCAGGCTCTCTGCTGCCTTCATCCATCTGCTTGCTGCTATCAAGCTAGGAGTTTCCAGGGCAGACTCTTCTTCTGTAATATGCATGCTACATAAATTATAATGCAATCTACAGGTTCCAGAGGATAAGTAATGAAGGTCAAATCTGACATCTGAGAAAAGTGACTATAATTTCCATACTCAGTGAGAGGAAAAGGCTCTTTTGGTTGTAATTTACAGTTCCTCACTATCCATTTCCTCACCAACTCCCTGTAATCTGACTCTACCATCACACTCAATTTCCTGCAAACTTTTCTCTCTTCTTGTCTGCTCCAGCAGCCACTGCATGGCATTGGCCACACTGACACCTGGACACTCAAACTCGTGTGGTGATCCTGGATCTCAAGGAATCATGTGCCTAACACCTCTTCTATGGCCCTTTATTGGACAGAGATTGCTCATGGACCTTCCAGAGACACCCAATTTGCTCTTTTAGCTGCCCACATGCCAATGCCCATCTCAGCTGAGAGCTCCCGATAACACCAAGTGGCTCCTTGTTCCAGGGCCACTATACTTGGTCTAAGTCTGAATGAAGAGCCCTGGTTACAGTAGCATTAGAGTAAGATGGAAGAACCTTAGAGATTAAAGTGATGGTTCTTCTACCCAAAACTAAATAACTTCAAATAAAGGTTGGAATGATTTCCTGGCCCGGGGGGCTTCACTGAAGAAACACAGATGGTGTGGGGATGTTACTGACTCCAGCGCTGTAGTCAAGAGATGTTCCCTTTCCTTTTTTTTTTTTTTTCTTTTCAAAGTTTTATTGATAAACATATAGCAATGAGACAGTTTCAAATCAAATCGAAAGTACAGTTTCAACAAATAATACACTGCATATATTCTTCTTAGTGGTTAATTGCTGTACAAGATGCAGACTTGTGATCCTACTTACAAACACCATTAGAAAAAATCATTCTATTCATTAAGAGAATGCAACTATATATCTATCCCAACCACTTTGAATACACAGATACAAAATGGACATTCATAGTTATACCCCAATTTTTTTTAAGTTCCGTTGTTGAATATTATAGGTGTGTAAACTCAGCAAAATATTCTAAAAGAGTACAGAAGCCCATAATAGCATTGGGTCTTCTGTTTAACTGGCAATGTCAGAAATTATTGACCTGAGTCCCCCACAGCTCAACATAACAACATGGCTTTACTTCCTATATTTCAAGGAGATGTTCCCTTTCCTAACAGAACAGCACAGGAATCCTGCAGGCTCTAGGGTGGACCTCAGCAGGGGGCAGGACCACTGGATCCACAGCCTGGTATCATCCCCTCCCAGGTGCCCGTGCCAGATCCTAGTCCCACGTCCTGAGTTCTTTCTTCTTTATCTTGCCACCTTCATAACTGTTTTACTTTCATAGGTCTCCTGTGTCTCTGCCCTGTCTATAATATGCCTGAACTGCAGCCTCTGTGATCAGGACAGTTGGTCAGTCAAAGAAAAGAAAGCTTAAAGAAAATCCTTACCTATATTCTCAGATGCCCTACAGCTTTGTTGCTGGCATTGGGCCTGTGGCCACAGTCCAACTGGCCACAACCCTGACAAAGCCCTGGCCTTCCCCAGGGTTCTGGAAGCTACTCACTCAGGAGGCCGGGTGTCTGGCCCCAGGGCTCTCTGCAGGGAGATCCGGTCACTGGCAAAGGCATTGAAGCAGTGCTTCTTGTAGCCCTCTTCTTTTTCCTGGGTCTCCAGGGGTGTCCACTCGCTCTTCTGAAATGCTTTCCCATCGGCCCCAGGGCTGTTAGGGTCCTGCAGTGGCCGTTCCCAGTGAGGCTTTAGCTCAGCTGATGTGTAGAACCCAGGGGGGCAAGACTGGTTTATGGCGACTGGAGGCTGCTGCAGCTCCGGAGCTCTGATCTGGAGTTTGGGCATTGAATCTTTAAGGTTGTTCACCGCCCCTAGCATGAGATCTAGGACGTGATCCTTCTGGCCCACCAAGGACTTCAGCCATGGCTTCTCTGTGGCTGGCTCTCTGCCACTTTCATCATTTTGCCGGATGAAGAGGTAGAGCATGAAGATGCTGCCCGCCATGGCCAGGCGCAGAGGCATACGGCGTCTGCGGAGGAGCCTCATCCTCCACAGCCTGGGGATCCTGGCAGATTCAGTTCTGAGCCCTTGGCCTGGCCTGGCCCTGGAAAGAGCTTGATATGTCGTGGGGGGTCACCCTGTGGAACTCAGCCTGAGAAGGGAAGGATGAGGGAGAAATGAGGCAAGAGAGGGGTGGAGTGGGGCTCAGGGTTTGGGGCTCAGGTGGAGGCTCTGATCTGCATGGTGGCATCACCCCACAATGTCAATGTAAAGAAACTGAACTCTGGTTCCTTCCTGTTCTAACACTCTGACATTTGTGGCTTTATGGTGACTAGAACAATTAAACTCTAGGTAAACAGATTTAATTGACATAACCACTCTGATAAACAATTTGGTGCTAACAAAATTGAAACAAATGCTATGAATCAGCAACTTCACTGTTGGTTTTATATTCCTTTTTTTAGGGAATTTTTTTTTTTTTTTTTTTTGGTTCCTCGAATGCCTTCAGGGCACTTTTGGCCAGCTGGAGAGGTGTGAGGTTCGAACTCCAGCAACCTGAGGCTGACAGCTTTGTGGAAGCAGCCACTTAAAGGCCTGAGCTAGGGCCAGGCCCCTCCTTTTTTTAATAGCTCTTATTTTATTTTGTTTTATTGAGAAACAAATGTCAATGAGACAGTTTCAAAGCTGATTAATAGGACATTTTCAATAATTCATACGTTGTACATTGTTACCTTCTTAGTGGTTATCCATAGTACAAGAAGCAGACAGGATATCCTGTCCAAATACTATTACTATAAATCTTTTTTCTCACTGAATAAAGTGAAAGTAGCTGTATATCTATCCCAACTATTCTGTATATATAAATACAAAATGGTCCTTCTTTTTCTCTTTCTTTCTTTCTTTCTTTCTTTCTTTCTTTCTTTCTTTCTTTCTTTCTTTCTTTCTTTCTTTCTTTCTGGGGTGGAACCGGGGATTGAATTCAGGCCCTTGCACTTGCCAGGGAAGCGCTTATTCCATTGAGCCATCTCCCCAGCCCCATAATGGTCCTTCTTTTGTATCCCCCTTTTTTGTTTAGTCCTGTCAGAGGTGGGTATTCCATTGGCATCTAAATACTACAGGTGCTTGAATTCAGCAAAACAACCCAACACAGTCCAGCAGTCCACAACAGTAGTGGGTTATCTGCAGAAGTTGTTGACTAGAGCCTTTTACAGCTCAGCATATTTGTTACCAGATAAAGTCTGGTAGATGAGCCAGGAGCCTGGACAAGAATGTTTAGAGTAGCACTGGCTAAAATGGCAAAAACTGGTAAGAACTTTCAAGTCTATTGGGAGTAGAATGATAAAGTGTGAAACATCATTACTATGGGGTTCTCTATTGCAATGGCAAAGACCTACTTCTCCATGCAACATGGTAAAAAAGCAAGTTATAGACTATATATTTTTAAAAGTAAAAAGGGCTGGGAGTGTGAGAACCCCATGTCCCCATGTCCCATCTATGGAAACTAAAGGAACAATAAAACCAGTTTCTAAAGCCCGGCATGGTGGTACACACCTGAAATCCCACCATTTGGGAGGTTGAGGCAGGACTGCCATGAGTTTGAGGCCAGCCTGGGCTAAATGGTGAGTTCAAGGCCAAGGCCTGTCTCAGAAAAAAAGAAGAAAGAAGAAAGAAGAAAGAAGAAAGAAGAAAGAAGAAAGAAGAAAGAAGAAGAAAGAAGAAAGAAGAAGAAGAAGAAGAAGAAGAAGAAGAAGAAGAAGAAGAAGAAGAAGAAGAAGAAGAAGA